TTATATCAAGGTACCAGCGGATCAAACTAAAAACTTCTGCAAATTTTGTTTGGAAATTATATTTAGGTTAACTAATAGAGGGTGAAACTCAATTCAAAATAATGAAATTGAAGTGGAACAAAGAAAGTAGTTTAATTTCAAGTTTCATATGAGCTCATTGTTTGTGATTTTTTATAAAAATTGTGTAAATTTTCAAGTAAATGTTTTAAAATTTTATTTATTCCAAACCCCATTTATTTTGAAATTATATTTTTGGTTCCAAAACATGGCCTTAATTTTGAGTAAAAGAAAGCCTTTTTGTATAGTATTGATCGCAGGTATTGTAGCTTGCCTCGCATGGTACATTTCTTTCCAGAGGGGCAAAGTTGTCCAATCTCAGCTTATTTTTCAAATTCTCATCTTGGTATACTGATTTTTCTACACATGATTGCATTTACTACTTAGTAACTCCATATTTAGACCAGCTGGTTAGAATAATGCCTACAAGAATACAATGTTTTACCAAACATTCAAGTACAAATATAAAAATACCTAGAAGCTAAACAGGACCTAGTTTAATGAAGCGAAGTAACTCTCTTCTCCTCCAAGGATAAGGTAGAGAAATTTATAGATAGAGAACAAAGGGCGTCAATGTACAGAACATATCTTTTTCCTGTTGTTAGCAGTAAGCAGCAGAGCAAATGAATGCTTATTCTCCCTCAATGGGACTGGAGTCAATTACAGTGAAAATCCAACACTAGACTTACAAATAAATTAGTTGATTCAGTCCATCCTGAATTGTACAGAGATTGAGGCAGGGCTGCTCAGCTAGCCGGCGGTGCAAGAGGGGCTGGCTCTGGCGCAACGCCTGCACCCGAATGAACATTATTGAAATGATAGGATTTCTCATCCAGACCCCAAAACTTGGCTGTCTTGACATCATCCTCGGCCATCAACCGAGAAAAATCTTCATGGTCATACTTCAGAGTGGCTTTTCCTCCAAACTCGCTTGGCAGATTTTCAACATCAAAGAACGAAGTCGTTAGGTCTACACTAGCTTTATTTTTAGGGTATACAAACTTCACCTTCTGTGCTGTTTTGGGATCCAAAAAGTACTTGACAGCCTGAAAAATAAAGAAAAGAAGTTAGCAGCAAATCTACCAGATTAAGTCATGAGAAATAATGTTATGTTTGGGACAACTGGATTTTTTGTGAAATTTATTTGAAAAATTACGCTTTAGAATAAATTCAGAAATTTGTAGAATTTATTTGCAAATTTATACTCAGTTCAACTATAAAATAACAAAAATTCTTTTTAAAATACAAAAATTGATTTCATATGAAATTCTATGTGAAATTACAACAATGCACTCCAAATCCTATCAATAATGAATTAGTCTAATTCCACACCAAGTTCTACATTAACTTTATTAATTTAGGAAAAAAATTTATCATCTTGTATCTACACTGAGTTTGACTTTGTAAATAAATTTCAGAAAATTGCGATTGCCCTAAATATAATAACCTTAGTTTTGATAGAAAGAAATAGAAATTCTGCTAAAAGAGGATGAAAAATGAAATCCGAGAAAATTTGAAGTGAGGCAGATCTAATACATTCTAGATTTTATCCTTTGTTATTGTTTTAAATAACATTTCACTCTTCACTAAGTGTGGATTTTCAACTAAATTCAAAAAGAATTTGTTTTCTTCCAAACGCAACCTAACTTAGTGGTAACAGTTTATGTTGTGCAGTAAAATGATAAAAAAAAAATTGAAGGAAGCAAATCGGACGCCCCCAGGGAAATTCAACAAAATGGTACCCAGGAGAGATACAAGGCAGGTATTTTTTGTACCTTATAAAATGTTTCGAAAAGCCTCGGTGGATTATATAAAAATGCAATGGCCAGTCTTTCAGGATAGTGGTTCTGCAAAATGTGGATGATATCCCGAGCTGTTCTAATTGGGATGTTGGTATTCAATGACCATCCAGTGAAGTCTATCAACCATGACATTTGTTCTTGACCCTCAGCAAGGTTAAGAATTGCATTTTCTAAAAGATAAACCAGATGGCGGATATTGTCCTCTGCTGATGTTGTGTTCTACAAATAACAGAGAAGTCAACAAGAAAGCTGGTAATAATTGGACTAGCCACAAACAAGTTTATCATTAAAACTTATCCGATGCAAAGAAGTGATCACAGAAAATAATAGTATGTACCTGCATTCCTGGCCTCATTATAAGCACAGTCCTCCCCGATCGATCATGAAAATTTGCTCTAGAAACCTTTCCAGTCTCACCTTCGTGTGCTACTTCATGCTGGCAAAAAGTTTGTACATGGTTAGCTTCCATCATTAAACCACTGAGCAGACTGGAAATTTAAAGAAGGGAAAAAAACAATAGAACAATGGCTTGCAGTCAAATGCAACAAGAACATTTAGGAGGCTGTGAAGCATTTGAGATTATGAGAAAGATTTAAACTTAGACCATTTCAAAGTTGCACAAAATAGATGAAGTAAGCTATCTGAAAATGTTATTTAAGCAATCTATCCTCCAAAAGGAATTAAAAATTCTTTATGCTGTAGAAGGTTAATGTTTCCAGCCTAAGAGAACCACAAACAAGGTCCAGATTCAGAAGCCATGCTTGGACTTGCATACTCTGAACTCCATAAAAGATACTAAAGATACTTGGATCCAAATGCATAAGTTTCTTTGAAAAACAGAGAGCAATCCAATATTATGATTGCCATCTAACCATGTCAAGAAACCGAATAGGCAGCATATACATGTGAGGAGTAATTTATGAGTCTACCAATGATAACGAAAAGATACTAAATCAGTGTGTCTGTCGTACAAAATAATTCTTCTTAGGTTCAGATATGTGTAGTTTAACAGGGGACTGAATCAACAGTAAGTATTTCTTTTCCCATCCAAGTGAAAGTGTAAAATCAGGCAAAGCCTCCACCAATATGAATTACGCATGGAATTGAAGACATGTGTTTTGTTTTATCTAACATACCCAGCGGATTTCTTCAGGCTTATAAATTGATCTCCATTTAAGACTCTCCTCCAACATCTTTTTTGCCTTGTCAACATTCCAGTTCCGAGCTTCCAAATATCTCCTCAAGCATGCGTCAGTGCAGTATTTTAAACTTCGACCTGATAGAGGTCCCAGAGCAGCTCTGAGTTCACTGACCTGCACATGTAGCATGTGTAATGTATGTTTCAGAAGCATATACAAATTATCTCGTTCAGGTCAAGGAATCAAAATTTCCCAAATGTTCCCTGAACACTGGAATTATACTATTGTCTAATCATGATGTTGAAGCAAAAAAACCAAATTGACAGTCAGTAATGACTAATGAGCCAGTTTCGGCGGATAATCAACAAAAACAAAAGAGTGATCAAATATGTTTTCTGGAAAAATTCGAACAAAGGAACCCATTGGAGTTAAAAGCAATTAATTGAAAACAAAAAAAAAAATGAGTTTGCATCTCTGTACCTTGGCATCTCGTTGCTCAGAATCATCCCCTGGACGATGGGGTGTCTTTCTCCGGAGAAACATTTTTACTCTCCGTGGAGTTCCACTTGTGACAGACAACCTTCAAGAGAAGGATATATAACATATTAGTGACTATTTTCTCGGAGGTGGAAAGTATGATTTGTCTAAGATACAAAACAAACAGAAAACAAAATATTAGGCAAATTAAGATATTTTTCTACGGCATTTTTAAAGGCTAAACACAAAGAAAGCCAACTTATGTCTGCAACAAAGATACTTAATATGGTGCATTATTTAAAGTGGCAGACTGGCAGTGTCTCCTCACCATTCAGAGCTTAATTTATTTCACTTGAGCTTTTCATTTATAAATTATGTCTCAAGGGAATAAAGCCATTCTCCTGTCATCTATGCCACGAAATTTTGACCAGATATGAAGCCATCTTGCAGAACAAAATTTATTTTTAAGTCTGTATACGGAACCTTCTCAGGTTCAGTATTATTTCTGAATATTGACAGACTGACAGTGCCTCTTAATTGAACTAACTGTTTGATCAACACATTCTACTAATCAAACTTCCATAAAACCTCTTCTTGTTTCAAAAATTTTGACGCCACCGCAAGAAGTTCGGCAACAGCATCCCAAATGACTACTTTAAGATCTGTATGGAAACTTTACATTGAAGTTCCTTGATTCAAACGCCAATACGAGTAAACAAAAACAGATTTTACCCAAAAGTCAAACACCGATCCAAAGCTAAAAAGAGCTGACTATTGTCAAAGGCACCATAATTGACTGATAATGAAACAAAACTATAGGTTCTCAGACTAGGAGCTAAAACAATCCAAGCAAAGAAACCACGACTTCAACAAAAATGTAGAAAACATTAAAATCGATTTATAAAGAACTACGTCTGTCAAACCATAACCAGATAATTTCGTCCACAATCCGTCAAAACAACAACGGAAATAGAGAGAGAGAGAGAGAGAGAGAGAGAGAGAGAGAGAGAGAGAGATCTACAAATAAAATAGGATCGCCAAAAAAAAAAAAGAAAACACCACATTCCTTCAACTCCGTAAAAACTAAAAGAAAGAATTGCCACCGGAGAACACAAGTCAAGGCCAGTAGATCTAATCACAATCAACAGAAAACCGGAGAATCAATTTTAGAAACCGAAGAACTTGGCCAGTTTTCGAGCAGAGAAAAACTGAAAGTTTTACCTGAGAGAGCTGAAGAATCAAGGCGAAGCGTGTAGATAGGAATAAAGAAAGTAAAGATATAAGGAAGAGTTTACGTTTGGGGAAGGAGCTAAAATCTTCAAGACAGCGGCATTTAGTGTTTGAAGGCGACAATTGCGAGGAGAAAGAAGAAGAAGACGAAGAAGAAGAGAGCAGAGAGAGATTAGAGAAGAAGGGAGTTGGTGTGA